TGTGTGTAATATGTGTTGTGTGTAATATGATGTGTTGTGTATGTGTGTAATATGTGTTGTGTGTAATATGTGTTGTGTGTAATTTGTGTATGTGTGTAATATGTGTTGTGTGTAATATGATGTGTTGTGTATGTGTGTAATATGTGTTGTGTATGTGTGTAATATGTAGTTAACTGATGGTTTCTCTCGTCACTCTTTGTTCCAAAAACACCAGTCAGAAAGTCCAAGAAGCTGCTGAAGAAACTGCAGCAGGACTCAGATCTAACCCCTAATCTGAGTTTAATCTGAGTTTATCAATAGTTTCAGCTAAATCCACAGCATTTAATGGGCTGCACCTGTTCAACCATCCCACTGTTCATACAGGCAGTGGGATTATTACACCTGTTCACTCTTAGGCCACAGGTTATCAGGTGAGATTTAGTTTCTAGTTTTACTCCAAGAGCCAAATGTTATTAAATACATGTTTATTAAGTTGAGCATCTTTTATTTATAGTGGAACAAAAATCATGAAGGTGTTTATTGATTTAAAGATCAGGATTAGTCACTCAAACCCACATGGTGCTCTGCTGAATGTAGAAGGAACAATTGATGAAAATAACCATCTTCAACCTAATAAAACATTTTGCTCTTAAAGCTGCAGTTTTTTCTATTAGAGCAAAAATAAAACTACAAATCCATCAAACAAAACAAAAATCAGAGAGAACATGGAGCCCGTCCAGTCAGGGGGTTCTGATGTTATCAGTCCATGAAATGGATGTTATCAGTCCCATACAATGGCTTCAGAATGTCCCTACTGTGCCTTCTAGCCTTCAGACCGGCTTGACGGTGCCCCCTAGTGGATTAATATATCAATGACAATGAATGTGTAAATAACCAAAACATTTTAATAAACTTTTAGTCCTTGCCTGGTGGCGAACCTTGGTCTTGCTGTCTGTGTCAGTCTTGGACCCTGGTCTCCCACTCTGTGGTCCGACACTCTACCCATTGCCCTATTGGAAAGTCACATTATACACCCGTTGGATGGTGGTGTCTTTAGCGCTAACCATGACATTTTCTCTAAGGTTAACCTTAGTGGCTTTTTGCCTCATACTAACCAGCTGACAATCAGAAGCCATTCTATGGGACTGATAACGGCTTATTAACGTCCATTTCATGGATGATAACATCCGAAGCGGGTGCTCCAGTGACACTGAAAACTAATCCTTGTGGCCATGCCAATATTAACACGTGACCACCAGATATTTATTGAACTGATTATGTTGTTAGCAAGTTCTCAACCCACTTTAAAGGTACTCATTGCTCAGTCATAAAGACTTCATAAAAAACAACCATATAAAAGTTTTTATCCTCATGTTGATGATTGTGTCCTACAATGGAAAATTTGTGACCAAAACTATGTTTGTTTACCTACAGAAACAGCCAAAGTAACGTAAAAGTGTTGACAGTTTTGACATATTGGTAAATATTTACACAGCTTTAATTAAAGTATGCAGATAGATTTTTTTAAATAATCTAAATTGAAGTAGATTTGTTTTTTGGGGGTTTGTGACAATGGCCTGCTCTAAAAATATTTAGATGAACTTCATTAAGATAAGTCCAGCTGATATTCTACAAGAGTCCACGTTTGTCCATTTCTGCCATATTTGTGTTTCTACACAGGTACAGCCAGCCTAATGAAGACCAACCAAGTGATTCAAGCTTTGTTTACATTGAGTGTGGACCCACAGAACTGCATATCAATCCATGTGGAAAACCAGCAGAATAAACACTTTCATAGTTCAGGAGCACTGGTTTCATGTTTGAATGAACTGACTACAGGTTTAAACTTTTAAAATGTGCAAAAGAAATGATCTATTATGTTTGTTTACCAATGTTTTGTGAGCAAAATGAGAAAATGTTTGGGAGGACAACAAGTCCTCTTCAGTTTATGTTCACGCAGATTGGAGGAGAGCAGGCAGAACTGGTGTTTTCTGTGGTGGATTACAACAAAACGCAGTTAAAAATAAAAAAAAGGCTAATACTAAGAGCGTCTATCAGACTCTAGCAGTCGATGTCAGGACGTTTGAAAAAGCTCAGCAAGGATCTAAAGCATCCTGTGTGATTTACTGTCAAAGAGCCGAAACATGCAGAAAGACTAAAAATGGCACAGCTAACTCCTCTCATCACAACACTGGTGTGGTTTGAAATGAACTGGAGTTAGTTAGGTTTGCTTTTAATGGGATCTGACAGAAAGACGAGCTGAAACGTCTCCAGCAGCTGGACCTCTCTGACACCAGGCTGTCTGCAGCTTTCTGAGGGAACTATGTGTGGAATATGTCACAGTTGTAGCAAAGCCCCCTCAGACCCCCCCACGCCGAGCGCTCCTGCTTGTTAGTGGGTGTGTGAGCCTCCAGAGTTTGAGGGGGCCGCCGTCCCCCCGTCAGGCCTCTGTGCGTGGCCTCTCCTGCCATGGCCCAGGATGCAGTTAGCGCTGCCACAGCCCTCGTCGTCCTCGTCTCCTTCGCTTTCAGAGGACGACTCTCCGAACTGTCGGGGCTTCTCGTAAATACAGCAGCCTGCAACACAACCTGCAGTTAGGACAAACCAGGCGCCCCAAGCCCCTCCTCATCCCCTGACACTCAGAAATACAACAAAACACACACAACGGTTGACACAGCTGGATCATTTCTCTCCTTCATAAACAAAACAAATCTGTATCAGAACAGCTACTGAGTTTCACTACATGAAACAAAGCAGCGACAGCTCTCTGACATGTTTCTGGCTACAAATAGAATCGAAAAGTTAAAATTAGCTTCTCAAAAGCTTTTTCATTAGATGTAGAAACCGGTTTGTTTATTAAAACTGCTTCAGGCTTAACATCACCTGAGATTTCTTTAACTGTTACTAGTTCAGAAACAAAACAAATCTGAAAACTTGAAGTGAATAATCATGTAATGCTGACAATGATAAAAAGTTTAGACCACAATATTACCACAAAATGCAATGAAATTTGGATTATTATAGCTGTTATAAAACAGTAATCCATGGTGTTCAGACCATTAATCTGTATTACAGGATTAGACATGGTCTATAGCTGCTATAGCTAGCGACACCACCATAGAAGCCGTTACTGTTCACTGAGTCATGTCAACAAACGATACAGTTTCCATGCAGGATGCACATCAGTCTGTCACAAACACATTCATAGCGCCCTTATTTCTTATCTGATTTCTATACAATATGGCTTAAATTAAAGCTGAGGAAATTGCCGATGTTGTGGTGTGTAAAAATATGTATTTACCCATCTGAGAACTTTTCATTACAGGTTTTTGTTAATGCATTTACTGTAGAAGCTCCTTTCCGTCACATAAAACTAAAGCCCTATTTGCACGGGACAAGAGTTATCTGGGGACCCCATGTAATAAATAAATTACTCCCCGACGTCTGTATTTTATGTGGCGCATTCTCACGGGACAACCAAAGCCCGAGAGTTTCCTGAAATTTACAGACATCTCTCAAATGTGATATTGAAGCCTGGTTAATTGTTTATTTAGTTGAACATGGCGTTGAACGAACGTTAAAAAAAAAAAAAAAAAAAAAAAAAAACAACAACAATAAACATCAAGTTATCCACTTTTTCCGCTCTCCTTTCCTCCTGTGTTACAGCAGGCGCTATCATCTCCACATACAGACCCCCACCCCATACCCATGCACGGGTACTAGGGGTGTAAGAAAATATCGATTCACTGAATATCGCGATATTTCATTTCCCGATACTGTATCGATATTCTAAAGCCCTGTATCGATTGTTTATTAAGGTTTAAAACATCAACTTTCCTGCCAGCTGTTTATTTTTATGTTGTTGTTCAGCCTCTGACCACTAGTTGGCAGCAGTGAGCCAGACATTTGGCTACTCTACCTCTTGAGGTAGAGGCCGTTGTTAGATGTTGGGTGACCATATTGTAAATTAATATTAAAAACTAAAAGCTGCAAAAAATATATTTTCAAACTATTTATTGTCAACTTTAGTCTAATAATTGAAAACATGGATGAAATAATAAACAAATAAAATAAAATACATACAAAGCAGAACACAGCTAAATGTATCAAAAGTATGTCTATGTTATATTAGAATTTTCTGAGACAATGAATTTTGGTTTTTCATTTTTGTCCCTGTAAGAGGTTTTTATTTAATAGAATTTTTGGACAAAAAAATTTGCAATATATCACCTTGCTTACATTATCACAATATATCGGGATATATCGTATCGTGACCCCTCTGTCATGATATGTATCGTATCGCCAAATTCTTGCCAATACACAGCCCTAGCGGGTACGAATGGTAGCCTACGGATTTTTAGCAAAAATTATAGATTTTTGAGGCTCATTAGACAGGTAAATGTCTAAAGGGGTTGACATATATGAACAACTTCACAGCTGGCGAGGGTGTGCGCGCCTGGTGCAGGTAGCTACCCAAAGCGCGAGCCTGCTGCGCTACGGCCACAACTCAGCTCAGCATCAGCCAGAAGGTTACACACAGAAAAAATAATTATTCTTACTGTACAGTGAGCCACCATTTGCATCTGATTTTGCTCCCTCTCTTCAGACTTTTTTTTATGGCGCATGTAACGGGTCAGGTTTTTCTGGCCCAGGACCAAAAAGGTTTTCAGTGCACTCCAATCCAGCCTCCATTCTTCACCTAAAGTAAATAAAAATGCACCAAGAAAACCAAAACCGCCTAACACTGAAATATTACGATATTTCATTTCCCGATACTGTATCGATATTCTAAAGCCCTGTATCGATTGTTTATTAAGGTTTAAAACATCAACTTTCCTGCCAGCTGTTTATTTTTATGTTGTTGTTCAGCCTCTGACCACTAGTTGGCAGCAGTGAGCCAGCCATTTGGCTCCTCTACCGCTTGAGCACCAGAGAGCAAGGGTAGCATTAGCATTGTGAGTAAACATTAGCTTCATGCTCCGATAGCTGAATCTGAGCAGAAAAGACCGACACCCTCTGCCTTCTAAGCTGAGGTAAGGTTACAAACAGTTACTTATTTGTCAGAATGTCTGTATTTTAAGACAAATTAAGTGTCTTGTGCGCTCTTTTTTCCAACGTTACAGAAGGCAGGTATTTAATAGAATTTTTTGGACAAAAAAATCGCAATATATCACCTTGCTTACAGTATCGCAATATATCAGGATATATCGTATCGTGACCCCTCTGTCATGATATGTATTGTATCGCCAAATTCTTGCCAATCCACAGCCCTACTAATAACATATAGGATTCAGCCCATACCTGTCCAAATCACAGAGATGCCTATTCACATTGGAGTAGCATTATCACAGGGCCTCGGAGTTCAGCGAAATACAGTACGTAATTTGCGGGGGAATTTTTACTTTACAAACTACTGATATGGCCGATTCTCATGGGATTAACAACACAGACAATCTCAGTAATTATTACAAATAGCATGGGGTCCCTAGGGAAAACTAATCCCATCAGAATAGGGCTTAAGACTCATATGTGTCATACATAGTATTGAGATTCAATGATAATTTAGACTTTCAGACGAAATCTGAAACAATTGCTCTTAAAATAGGAAACTTAAGAACGGGCTCCACCAGTTGTATATACTGTATATAAACTGTATAAAATAAATTATATATATTTTCATCTCATCAGTCCTGTCAATGTTCAATGTCATGTTCAAACTTTTCTTTAATGATGTAGCTGATGTCACACAAGTCCTTTTCTAGTTGTTTTTACATTTTTTAAACAATATCAGACATGCATACTGTAAGATAATGTGTGTATAAATAATGTCCTACAAGATCAAACTGCTGGTTGTGTGTTCAGATGAGAGCGGACAGCAGGGTACTCACACTTTGAGGATCGTCTTCCCAGGTGCTCATTATCAACAGTGTCACTGGACCACTCCACTTTCTTCTCAGTCTTCCTCTTCCTCAACTTGATCGTCAAACTTCGTCCTTCCTGTGAAACAATTTGATGTTGAGTATTTACAGCAGGGCTATTCAACTGCTCCGGGGGCCACAGTTACTGCAGACCAACAGCTGAGGGGCCCAACATCCAGCAAGTTATTATGTAAATAAACCAAGTATTACAAAGATCTGTTACCTTTGAAATAGTTTATTTTGCTACATTTAATCATAAATACAGCATACAGAACCTTATAAAAGTAGTGATAATAAAACTATATCAAAAACAAAAAGAACACATTCTGCCTCCTATTTAACACAAATATTCAATTCAAATTCAAAAATACTTTATTGATCCCAGAGGGAAATTAGGTATTAGGTAATATTTGGATATCTCTGACTTGACAAATATTTAAACCAATTTTATTTTCACTTTCATCATTTTACCTTCCACTGCTTGTAGTCAGTGTGCATTGCCAATGCACACTATTGTGATTCGTTCCCCATCCAAGTCATCCTCTATTTCGGCACGCTTCTCCTCCTACATACTTTGTCCTAGAGCTGCCATTGTATTTTGTATCTTTTAAGCTGATGTGCCAAATGCAGGTTATGCTTTTTTGGTGCCTGTATAACTTATAGTTTTTGAAATATTAATATTTAAACTTTATTAATAGGTGTCAATACAGCCTGTATTGGTCAAATACTGCCCCAGATTTATGTGCTCAGCTTGGTACTGCACCATACTTTAATCATATTTAAACTCAGTATTTCAGTGATATACAATACTAATTTCTTTGCATTTTAATGTTTTATTATAATATTTTCTTGTAAGCATTTACATCTCATATAACATTGCTTTATTGTTGTAATATATTGCAGTTTTGTGTCAACAATCGTCATTGGCAATGTTGCCTCTTTCTACACACAGAAAAAAAAAAAAACACAGACTGTGCTTTCATAGCTCCAATGGTCTCATGTTTACTGCCATGGGCTTTCATGTGGGAGATCAGTTTTCAAAACCCAGCGACAGTAATTTTAACTAAAATTCTCTTCAAACTTCATATTGTCACACAATTACCCTGATTACAAACACCTGCTGACTGCACAAGCACAAGCTGGTATAGAAAACACATTTGAACTAGGTCACAGATCATCCTGCAAGTCCACTGCTGCAGGTAAAGACATGCTACATGGCAATGCACACTTGTTTTTACATCGTAAAAAAACCCATGTCTAGTTTTAACTGTCTTGAGTGTGCATAGAAATGTGTATCAGTTTCTAGATCCTGACGTATCTGTAGATACCAAACATGTCTATGTTTAACTAAAAGAACTTAAGGGTAATTAAAGTAGAAAACCGGGGGTTTGAGCTTAAGAGATGAATGAACCAATTGACGGGCCAAACTTTGGTCACTTGCGGGCCAGATGTGGCCTGTGGGCCACCAGTTGAATAGTCCTGACTTACAGGAATCTTGGTCAGGTGTTCAAATATGTCTGAGTACAAGTGTTGCTGTATTCATTTAACTGAAAATAACCATCAAAATCATAAAAACGCAGCTTTCAAACAACAAAATGCAACGTAAATCAGTTTCCTCGTTTCGACCAGATTCCATTCGTCAACGTGTCTGAGACCTGACAGAACAAGTGTTCACCAGGCCAGCTTAAAACACAGAATATTGGCATGTAGGCAAATCAGTACAATACAGCAGGTATAAGGGAGGGTTAGGGACTGAGGGAAGAAGCTTTGTTGTGACTGCAGGACCTTCAGTCCATGAGCTGGGGGGTCTATCACAAAGTTCTTTGCTCTGCTTTTAAATTTGAGCAACGTTTCACAGCTTAACAGTGTAGCTTTACTATTTAGATACAATTAATAAAAAACAAATTCTAAGCCAGTGGTTCCCAAAGTTGGAGTCGGGTCCTGAAACATAAAGGTGGGGTCCTGAAAAGATTTTCTGAATTAGTTACACAAAAAAAGGAGAACTAAAAATTTTTATGCTTTTGTTGTTACAAAAGACTGAGTAAGGTACTCACCTTACTCTTTTGTAAGGTTAGTACCTTACAAAATTTTAATTTAGTAAAAAAAAAAAATTTTAGTTCTCCTAAAAGTTTTAGCTATTTTTGTCCAATGTATTTACATTGGACAAAAATAGCTTAATGAATATTGTTACTGTGTCCTTGTTTATCTGATGTGAAAACAGTGTTTATTAACCAACAACAGCTGGGGTCTCAGGTCTCTGGTGCTGGTATTTTGTGAGTCAAAAGCTGAAAAGTTTGGGAACCACTGTTCTAAGCCAGGATTTTAAAATCACAACACTACTCTTCAACATGTTGTAGATCAGTGGTTCCCAACCCTAGACCTCAAGAACCCCTACCCAGCATGTTTTACTTGTTCCCTGCTGTTCAGCAGGTCTTCAGAAGATTAATCACTCATTCATTCAAACCAGGTGTGTCAAGACAGGGAAACATCTAAAAATCACTGCTTTAAATGTTGACCAACAGCTCAAGAGCTTCTCTGTGCTTGATGAGACTATTTCTAATTATAATATTGACTCAGTTTTATGTTTTTTTAGTTTTGCTTCTGGAAGCCATTGATTCTTTGCCATTTATTTGTAAATAATAAATCAGATAAGTATTAAAGCAGTGATTCTCAACCCTGGTCCACAAGGACTTCTTTCCTGCATGTTTATATGTTTCCCTGATTTGACACACCTGGTATGAATGAATGAGTAGGGCTGTGCATTGGCAAGAATTTGGCGATACGATACATATCATGACAGAGGGGTCAGGATACGATATATCCCGATATATTGCGATACTATAAGCAAGGTGACATATTGTGATTTTTTTGTCCAAAAATCCTATTAAATAAAAACTTCTTACTGGAAAAAAAATGAAAAACCAAAATTCATTGTCTCAGAAAATTCTAATATTACATAGACATGCTTTTGATACTGTACATTTAGCTGTGTTCTGCTT